ATAACCTATGTATCTTTGGAGGGCCCTAACCTCTCCCACATTCTTTAGATCTCTGTTTTTGAGCTGTCTCACTGCTTTAAAGGGGAACCCCGGTTTTCTTACATTGTTCCTTGATTTTACATTATTACATCATGTTCTACTCACCCATATTAGTTTTGTGTCATTTGGAGATGTTCTGAAGATATTCGGTTTTGTAATCCAAGTAACATTTTCCTATGGGCAATGACTTGAAGGCACAAACTAAACTGCTCATAATTTCTTCTTTATGGTACGCCAGCATTCATAACAGGTGAATCACTGTCCCCCAGACATCCACAGTTATATTTTTTTATATCTATATTTTTTTAAGCAAAGTATAGTGTGTATGATGTCATCAATGCTGGAGTACCATAAAGAATAAATTAAGAACAGTTTTTTTTTTTTTTTTCAGAAATAGCAATACTTGAATAAAAATCTTTAAAATTCATTTGAAGGGTTTTTTCTTGTTTCATCCTTTCTTTTTCTTTTTTTTTTTTAAATAGTTTTTCAAATTTCCCTATTTCTTGTTCTTGCATTCTTTTCAAATTGTCTTTTACAGATCATATTTTCTTCACTTCAATGCCGATAGAGATGCTCACATTTGACCATTAAAACTTTTCTGGATAATAATGCAGAACAATGAAAATCATTGGTCTTCATTCCAGAGGAAAGGCTGCCTCCAGAAGTAGAGAATAGGATCTTTAAAACACAATTTGAAAAGAATACAGTTTTTAAAACTCAATCTGGAATAAAATAAATAAAAATATAAGATTAAAATAAAAATCTGCAACAAAAAAAAATTGTGTTAGAACATATGAAATATGATAACATATTTGGGAAAAGGAAATATGAGAAAACAGAAGATTTACCCTTAAACTTTTTTTGGGGTGAAGAAGTTTTTAACGTTTCTTTTCTGGATTGCATTTTTTTCCCTAAATTTTAATCTAAATGCTATGCTTTTTGCTTGCAATGATAAAGTATATAAAATAAAAATCCATGCCATATCAAGTCACCTAAAACTGTATCTGCCTCAGTGTAATGATTGTAATAATACGTGTGGCCACTAGATGGCGCCTCCAGCGCAGAGCGCAGTCTCCCGATTACTGGCTCTTTCTTTTCTCGAGAAAAACATGCTAAGTCATGTCTGAATAAGTGGAAAGAGTAAAAGAAAAACTTGGACAGAGATAATCATGTAAATTTCAATATAACATCCTGTTTTTTTATTCTGTATATAAGAAATATACACAAGCTCCAAGGGTTGCACCACAATCACACACAGGAGTCTGCACACAAGGCCAGGGAAGAAGTTTTTCATTTGTTTGGATCAGCATTGTGTTTGTATTTAGTAAAGAAGAATATAACTGTTAAATATCGGCTGTGCTGCTGCCATCAACACCTTTGTTTATAGATGTTGGAAATCTGCCTGTTTTTCCAGTGTAGTCCTGTTTCTCTGACTGTGACTGGCTGGATGTGCTCTCTTCATCCTCTGACATGGGAGTTGGCTCAGCTCGTCTGCCTGGCTGTGTGTTTCCTGGACGGGGCCGCCTCTTACACTTGCCTTTTGTTTCTCTGCTTCTGTCTCCTTGAACCCCAGTCGGCCTCGGTAGATGGCCGCTCACACTGAGCCTGGTTTTGCTGTAGGTTTCTTCCTGTTTTTTCTCTCCACTGTCGCTACAAGCATGCTTAGTGTGAGGGATTGCATTTAAGACAATGAGTCGATGCAATCAACTGGTTTTCCTTACATTGAAAACTTTGAATCAATTTGACTGGATGATCTGGTGAACTGTAAAGTGCGTTGAGATGACATGTGTTGTGAATTGGCGCTATAGAAATAAACTGAATCGAATTGAATTATATCTGCAATTGAGCATGAAATATGTTAATTTATGGCACTCTATGTAGGTTTTTAAACATTCATAACACATGAAGCTGCAGTTTCATAAGCTGATGTTTTTGTTCTAGTTAAGTTAGCGGACCTATCTGGCTCTAGGATTATGTGCTGAACAGGCTTCAGTTTTGGACAACTCAACCCGCCAGATCCACGCTTATTTCCATATTTGTCACAGGTGTTACACAAAAGAAGGTTGGTTTGTACAACTCCAACATAGAAAAAAAGGTAAGGGTAACTTGGTGCACAGTTCTAAAGAATTACAATTAAATCTGGACAAATTAATAAGATTTAAAATATATTCATACATATCAAAAAATATATTTAAGATGGGCCAAAAAATAGACACAGCTTTATGCTGCAATTTTTTTTAAATTAAAGATCAGAGATAAACCACATATGCAAAGAAATCAGGAAACATTTGAATCTGATAAGCTAATGTAGCCAAAAGAATAATTAGGAAACTTTTTGCCCCTATCATTTTTTGCATATGCCATTTTCAGCTTTTGGGTGTAGGTAAACTTTTAGTATGGTCCCTATACACAATACTTTATAAACAGAAGCACAGCTCAATCATGTCACCATTTATAGTAATTAGGGCAAAAGGAACCCAGACCAAGTATTAAGTATTGATAGATGAAAAAAAATATTTATTGGGCGCCTGCCATTTCTTTTTAAAATTCTTTTTTGTATTTTTCTATTGTAAAATTCTTATTTATGAGATGCTAAATTTTAGGTTTTTATTTTGTAAATGTAAGCCATAAAAAATACTACAAAAAAATCTAAAACATTTTGAGGAAGACCCTCATAATTTACCACATTTAATTTACTTTTGGGATCAATAAAATGATTTAAGATTAAATTTTTAAAAAGGCGCTAAATATCTATGTGTAATAATTCTATATGATCAGAAGTTTCAGTTTCTGACATGAGGCACAAAAATATTTAACATATCTCAATTTTCTAGCTGTTCTTTCATAAAAAAAGAGCAGTAAATAAACAGAGTTTAACTATTTTACTTGTAGGTAAACAGGTTAAACAAGGATCCAGGCAGAGCCTTAGAGCGGCCAAATGTTTTACACACAACTCAGCTTGTACAAAGTGTACAAGTTTTGCAGCGTTCCTTGGGAACTTTTATTTTAGTCGACAATTGAAAACTACAAAACACCAAAACTAAAGCTAAAAAACTCTGAAAAATTATTTTATTCAGATCTATTTAAACCACAGGAACAACAAGCCTTATGTTTTTTTATGAGTTTTAGCTTTTATGTTTTAAATCTGAATGATAAAAGAACTATATTTAGCCTGCTAAAACACTGTAACACCTCGAAGATGATGGAAAGAACCTCAGTTTGATGTAAACTGTAAATATTCCTCTGGTTTGGTCTGTAAACACATGATGGTCTGTGTGCTGAGGAGCTAAAAATCCATGGATGATCTCAAAGGGGCACTTTCAGTATAACTGAACAAGAAACTGTGGTACATCAGCAAATTAATGCACACAAGTCAGGTAGGGTGATTGATAAGATGCACAAAGTGTAGACGATCACACATCTATAAAAAAAGAAGAGGTAGAGTGGAGTGTAATTCTGGAAAGGTGGAAGCCTTGGCTCTGCTGGATGACATTTCCTTTATGAAAGAATACAGAGGGAGTTTGTTCAGAGATGTTACTGACCTGCTGGTACAAGATGAGGCATTGCTCCTTAGCTGATATAAATTGATGAGCATCACAGAAGAGCCCTGAAAGAACCATGTATCCCTCCTGCCAACAACTGTACCATCCAGCCAGAGAATTTTTTAGAAGGAAGTTATTGAAATGTTGGGTATTTAACAGTCAATGTGAACCGTCAACATGCTTGTCATATGGTACTTCTCAAAGTAAGCCGTGTGTTGCTCAGATAAACAAATAAATGTGCTTAAATGGATATACATCAAATTGTAATTTGTAGTGAGCAGAGTTATGACTGCAATCAACATTGCTTTAAGAGGCCATCTGGAAATGCCAGATCTGCCTCTATAAATAGAAGACATAATTGTTAAAAAGCTGTCCACCATGTTTAATATGCAAAAACGTGTCTGCTTATTTAACTGAACCAGGGAACTTTGGCTTGGTTCAACCAATGGTTTTATGAGCTTATAGTTAATATAATTATTGATTGATTTTTATTGATCTCACAGTGGAGAAATGTATGTGATGCATCAGTTCAAATAGTTAAAAGATAAGAAGAAGGAGCATGGGATATATACAGTGTGTCCACATATGACCGTGTTTTTTTTTTGTTTTCTTTTTTATTCTAGGCCATGATGGCCTAGTGGTTAGGGCATTGCGCTTGGGTTCCAGAGGTTCTGAGTATAATCCACACTCCCACCAACCCACTGCCTTTTTTTTTGTGGCTTTTTACTGTTATTTTGTGATTCCTGAATAATTTTTTACATTGATTTTTTTGTTGTATTGACAATCTTCCCAGTAGAAACATGGGAAGAATATACAAATGATTACAGAGATCAGCATTAAGCTATTTAGCTCATTGCAGCACCATTTGGAACCGACTCAGACAATATGGAGCTTAACAGGTACCAGCAAACAGTTTATCCATTTTCTGCAAGTTTGAGTCGCCGGTGTCTCTAAAGAGGTTGTTGGTTGGCTGTAACGTATCAGTGAGGTGTGTTGACAAAGTTTCAGAGTGACTGAAGGGCAGCACTGTTGCTATGGTTATTTGAACATGTGCTTGTTGCCTCCTGGCTGTTTATTACTGATTTGCATATTCACTTAGAGGCAGGGACCAGGCAGGCAAGAATACGTGTGCAATTGGCTTGATTCCATGCAAATTTAGAAGAATGAAGGAAACTATGAAGTGACACGTTTACATGGTTTTATACATCTGATTTTTATTTTTTCATGTGCACGTTTCAGAATGTCTACTACATTATACATGATGCTTTAAAACTACAAAAATTCAGCCTGTGCTGCTCATGCTTTCTACCAACACTAATGTCCCCCAGTGGCTCTTCTGAAAGGCCCACCTCCCTTTATCTTTGTCCAATTACTTGTCACTATGTGAACCAAATCTAGACCACATTATTCTTGTTTTTTTAATCCCTTTCTAGTTCATGTAAAGGACAAAAAGTAGTTCTACCAGTAGAAAAAATAATGAATGAAACAGAACACAATTCAAAAACAGGACTGACAGGTTAATGCTCTGCAGTTAAGGAAGTCCTCTTTTTTTATATAGAAGATTCAGATAGGCATAACTTTTTTTTTTATAGTCTGCCTAATTAAGTATTTATAATTTATCATTTAATAAGTGAATCACTGTATATTTAAACATATTTATACATTTGCATATATTGTATAAGATGTAGTATACAGATAATAAGGAACAGACTGATTTTTAAATTATCTGTGATGGTTTTTCAACAAATTATCCATTAATATCAAGATGAGCTCAATTTTGAAGTAGAATTCGCTGCAGTCTAAACATTTTGACCTCCTCAATATGGCCCCGGAAAGCAGACACGTTGGCACCGGAAGTGGGTCAGTCGCCGCGCCTGCGCAGTGGCTGTGCCCGAGTCCCTGTAAAGATGTCTGAGCAGGCGGGGAGGGAGCGGAGCGGACGACTGGAAAGCAGCGCGGAGAAGCTCCGACTATCTGCTATTTGACCGCGGAAGGTAAGAGCAAAAGAGTCCGTATGGCTCCTTCGAATACACCGACACCCGGCTGAAGGTTTCATGCTGCGGATGGAGTAGGTTCTGAGACCGCGAAGCCCAAGTGTCGAGATTCCTGAGCAGAAATGTTGGTGAAGGCGCACGGAGCGGTGGCAGGGGCGTGTCCGCCATCTTTGAGAGGAGCTGAATTTTAACAGCAGCAATACGTCTTAGCTGAGTTCGAATAAAACATTCTATTAGCCTCTGTCAGAACAGCTATCAGGTCAGACCGCCGAGTCCATGGGGATTTAGCATACTTTCGGTCGGCTTGTCTGCTCCGTGGAGTCGTAGTGACCGCCACGGTCTCCAACAGCAGAGCGCGGGCTTCGAGCAGCAGCCGCAGCCTTTTGTTGTCCTCCTCCCCCTCCTCCCTGTTTGCTCAGGCTCGCTGCGCGCATGCGCATAACTGTGGCGCTCGTTCCTGCGACTGAGAAGAAAAACAACCGAAAAGCCTTAAACAGAATTAAGCAGCAGCAGCTTATTGATCAAATCCAATCAACTGTTTGTCGGAGCGCTGTCACATCACAGGGACGTTTCTTCCTTTCAGTTTCATTTTAGGTATAATAAATCAGTGATTGCGGCACACCGGGCACAGGTGGTGCGGATCGATTTAAACAGATAAAACACCTGTCATTTTACCTCTACGTTGATCGACACCGTCATCTTCCCTGATTACAGAAAGACCGCAGGTCAATGAAGAGAGCATTTTATGGCAATAGGAAAATGTAACCCTCCCTAGATATCCATTCATATTCACGCTTAGTGTCCTTGAGCAAGGCACTGAACTCCAGACTATCTGCTGATCTGTGGATGATTTGATCCTGTATAACTGGATCAAAAACACTGCTAGCTATACCAGGGGCCTTTACAACAGGAGGAGCAGGTTTGGGTACGGTCAAGTTCCACACATCCTCCTGTCTATGGTATCATATCCAAGTCTTTTTAATTACTGAGTAAAGTTAATTATCTTTAGCATGAGGCAATAACCCTATGGTTTTAAACTTGTCTGTGGAAGCAGAGCTGCATCTAAGGTTGCAAACTTCACAGGCCGAGACACCTAAAATAAAAGTAAAACACCTACAGTAGTAATTTAGACCTATTTTGTTTTGTTTTTTTGTGTGTTTTTTTAGGTAATAAATTGGTAATAAAAAATTGCAATTTCTTTTTGAAGCAGGCAATACTTTAAATAAGAGTAGAAAATAAAGGAAACACTAGACCAGAGGTAACCAATTAAGTCAGAGGGGTCAGAATAAAGAAAATCAATAATCAGTAAAGGTCCAGAGACATTTTTAATTACAATCTGTTACTTTAAACAGAATTTAACACTGAAAATAAATTTGTTTATGCATCCATGCTATACATGGATGCAATAAAAAAAAATATTTTAATAAAGAGCATTTTTTTTTCCATTTTAAAGTGTTTTTTGAAGTAGAGAACAACAATTGTTCAGTTTTGTATATACACAATTTCCTGATTCACATATTTTATAAAAACCCTGAACTGACAGTTGTTTTTTGTGGCTTAATTAGTGAAGTGGGCTTTAGGCTGGCCTGCAAGGCTTTTAAAACTGGGTTTTATAGGCAACAAAGCCATTCTCAAGCACATATCAAGGTGATGATTCGTGAGCATGGCTCGATATTTATTTTTGATTATGTTCATGCTGGAGAATCTTGCTTCACAGCAGAAGGTTAAGCCAAACATACTCAAAATGTGCGGTTCTCCCAGCAGTTCACACTTTCTCTGCTCTCTGTTTCTCATCGTCTTCTTCTTTTCAATCTCCCAGTTTGCCTCAGGTTTGTCTGGTGTATCTAAAAGTAGCTAGACGCAGCGACCCAGACTGACACAGTCCATTGGCTAATTTGTATCAGGTGTAGCCTGGTTCCAGAAGCTCCGGAGGGCTTTACCATATTAACAGGAGAAACAGCGCAAGTGAAGTTAGACAACATGCATTGATTTATAAATGTTTTAAATCAGATTGGGCCCGGATCAGCCAGCAGGTGGGTCCGGGTCGGGACTGCGGTCCGCTAATCCATGACCTCTGCACCGGAACATCCCTATTTCAAATGTTTCTTACTTTCACATGATGGGTTTATTAATTTATTTTTTATTAACTCTACAAAAAAAAGTGTAGAGGCAATCCGGTTCTTGGGTCGTGTTGCTTGGAGCAAAAATAGTTTTTTGCGTGTATGAGATGAAGTTTACTAACCAGAGTTCATCATGGAAACAAAGGAGGGATTGTTGTATTTATATCATATATTCTATAAAGTTTAATTTCAATGGTGTAAGAATAGTTTATAATTAGTCATTCACTCAGCTGACTTTAACCCAGAAGATGCTGTTCTGCCTTTAAACATCATGTGTTTGATTTAGAACGTAAAAATAAAAAAATGTGAGGTCCTTAACTCTTACCTATTTGTATAACAGCACATGTTGTGGAGGCAGGGAAAACGGTAGACACTGATGGGGAGATGCAGTAGGGCTGCAATCAATTATTTTGTTTAGTGATCACCCGCTATTATTGCTAAATCGGATGTGAAAAGGCCCCTTTAATATATTTTATACAGATTGTGAATGAGATGAAGCTAAAGCTACCTCTTTAGGAGTTCTGATAGTAATTAATTAAAGTTTATTTACTTGATGTGCCATCTTGGATTAGCTGCACTTCTTGAGCACTTATGTGGGTTTTGGAGTCCATCACATGCTCCAACGAGTGTGAAAGCACCACCAACCTTCAAAAGTAACCAAAACATCAGCTAGAAAGCATAGATGCTGAGAAGTGGTCTGTGGTCCCCACCTGTAGAACCACTCCTTAATTTAGTGTGTCTTGCTAATTGCCAATTATTACCACCTCTCAATCAGTGTGTGTGCAAATATGCTTTACAGTTTTGGCAAAATTAGTACTGTCAATGGGTTGCTAGAGTCTGTACACTCAAGTGAATTATTAATAACTGAATTAGTTGATGATTATTTCAATAAACGATCAATCATGACTGGTTTTGATCAATAGTTTCAGCCCTACATGTATTTGATATGTTTAAATGCTTCACATGGAACACGCACAGTTAAATGTGTACATGCGGAAAGCTGAACGCAAAGAGGATCCTAGGACTCAGACTCTGAGTTAGAGTTCTGATCTGTTGCTCTATAGATGTATAGCAGCTCACACCTCCCTCCCACCCTGGACACAAACTGTTTCTCCTCTCTGTCCACATCACAACCAATACTGCTTCCCACAAAAACAGCTAATTCCCATCTACTGTTGGCCTCCTTAACAAGGCCCAGCTACTCTTTCCCTCAGCCTGCAGGAAAGTGTCAGCACATGTGTATATGCCTACTTTATAATCTAAGTTTAGCCACTATTAATTTGCTGCTGTGGTGCTTTTGCTGCACAACTTACATTTGTTAGTTTCTGAATCATGTATTTCTGTTTTATTTATTTCTGTTTGCTTTTCTGTACGTAGCAACTCATTACCGAATCAAATTCCTTGTAGATGTAAACAATACATTTGGAAATTGCTTGGTTTTGTGTGCAGATGGTTTTATAAAACTGTTTTTTTATGCTGCATGCCAGTTTCAGATTTTTGGCACAGATAAAAGATTTAGTTTGGATACTTTGCAATACTTCATAAGTAGGCATTTTCTTTTAGAGACACAGTGGGATTGTCTCCTCCCTAGTTTATCTTGCTAATTTCTGCTTAAATTAAATTGCTGAAACCAGTTTCTATCTTTTGTTTTAGTTGAATATTTGACCCAGAAGAGAAGCTCACCTTTTTCTTTTGTTGTGTTCTGAATCCCTGTTTCCTTTTGTCAGGTCCGACTGTGATGAGCAGCTAAAATGTCCAGTAACAGCCAGGGATCTGTGAAGGGAGAGGCAGCCACCATGGTGCCCCCTTCTGCCTCTGCCTCCTCTCATGGACCGCCTCTTTCTCCGTCCACCACATCCAAATCGCCTGAACTTCCAGGTAGATGCAGCTGTCTTCTCTCTTTACCTGTGTCTTTTTCACACTTGCCTCTCTCTCACAGTTGTCGTCTTCTGACTTGCCCCTTGTCTCACATGTCTTTGTGTCTCCCTACCTTCCACATCCCTCCCCTGAATCCTAACAGATGAGTTGGTCCAGGCCGGCTGGTCCAAATGTTGGTCAAAAAGGGAGAACCGGCCGTACTACTTTAACAGATTTACCAATCAGAGCCTGTGGGAGGTGCCTGTGCTGGGTCAACATGATGTCATCGTGAGTGCTGCTTACCTCACCTATCAATCACCCAATCTATAAACCAATCAGCTGCAGGAGCTGATATATTCCTCTATCTGTTCGTAGTCCGACCCACTGGGTCTAAACGCTGCTCCTGCAGAAGCCGGGGATGGTAACCTTGGAAACGGCCAGAGGAAGAGGAGGAGCTCTGAGGAGCAGGGGGCGGGGCTAAACAGTGCAAAACGAGCCAAGGTATTTAAGCTGAATTCAGGGGCAACATCCTTCAAAGGTCTTTTTAAATCTGTTGGACAACTCTATGTCAGTACGCCGATGAAGACGGTCCCGATACACGACTGTTTCTAAAGCCGCAGACAAATTCCTTCTTTTCATTTAGCAGAAGGAGGGTTTCTCTGTGTCCTTCATGCCCAACTATTTTCTTTGATCCGGGGTGCTGGTTGAAGCAATGGCAGATGGCAGTTGTTAAAAATGTGATCATAAATTTGAAACCACTGCTGTTGTACTGTGTTATTACAGTTTTTACTCAAAGCTGACGATTGTTTTTAAAAAAATGTATTAAGGTTGCTGCTCTTAAAATTAAGACCAACTCAAACAAAACTGAACAAATGTTAATCAGGCCCTCATTGGGTCCATTTTTCTTTTATGCTACGTTCCCAGTAGACGTGATTTGAGTAGTGAAAAAGCACCTGCTGCTTCATTTTTAATGCTTCTCCACATTAGGTGGCCTGAAGAGCATCTCTGTTGCTTCTGAAGCGCGTCCTGTAGATTTTTCCAGATGCGTCTGATGCTTCTGCTGCTCTTGTGTTCAATGGCAGAGAACGGCTTTGCTGTATTTCCTGTGATCAGTGGGTAAAAAGTAGTTTTAATGTTTTTAAGTGGAAAAATTCCACCTCAAAACATTGTTTGTGCAGTCAGTTCATCAATATTATGATTCTGCTTCAAAATATTATTGGAGTTGGAGCTGTTGGAGCCGCACAGACCCCCAACATACCGACAGGGCGCTGTCACTGCTAATCTCCAGCAGCAGCTGCCTCAGGCCGGGTTCTTGGGGGTTTGTCCCCTACTTTTCGTGGCGACTGGAACTAGATGTTAGTGTTTTTCTTCTGCGTAATACAAACTGCATGCATCGCAATAATAAAAGCAAACATATTTTGCTGGCAGGTTTTCCACATTTTAAGTTAATTTAGGCTTTAATAAACAGTTTCAGGGGATTGATCATAGCGATCTGCATCAGCAGCGCTGTGTCTGCTTGTGAAGCACTTCACACGCCTTAGAAGCTCATGAGGCCCTGCTTCAGGTGTGTCAAGATGTGCTGCACCTGCTGCTCGAGAGGCGCTGTGGGACCTTGATGCGCACAAACCACTGACTTTACATTTAAAACAGCTGCTTCTGCTGCTGGAATCATGTGCGATGTGAACGTAGCTTTACTGTATTTTCTTTGACTCAGCCGTTGACAGCCTTTGTAATTAACTCAACAAGATGGTGAGGAAGGAATAATGATAAAAAAGTTTTGGGCTTTTACAAATATTTAAATTATAAAACTCTACAGATAAATGCAAACTAATAATCGTCTTATCATCAGAGTCGGACATTAATGAAATCACATCATCTGCTTATGTCGGGGGCATGGGAGCTCAGTTACAGACTTTGACCTTCTTCTAAGCAAGGGAGCAGAAAAAGCAGTAATTAAAGATAAGCTTTGAAAAATAGCCTTATTTAAGGGTTTCATCTTAATGCAGAGTATATTAGGAGATGAATAACTTGCTCATCTTTAGCAACTGCTGGAGTTTCTCTAGGATTAAATCAACAAAAACAAAAGTTGTCGCAGCTGTCAGGATCCAAACAAAAGTACTTAATTTGTCCTCAATTATGAATTAGATTTTACTTTAAGATTATACATTGTGTTGTTCTTGCCAAATACTTTCTACACAAATGGAATATGCCACTTGGGGGGAGTGTTGGCCTAGTGGGTTAGAGCAGTGCACGTATATATATATATATATATATATATATATATATATATATAATATATATATATATGAATGTCCTGTTTTAATTTTTGACCATTTGTTCGCTTAATAATTAATATGAACACTCCTCTTCTAAATTATTGTTTATTTTAAAATAAAGAGTCATTAGGGAATAAGGACAAAAAATCTGTTTTTTCCTTTGATGCATATGTCATATTTATCAAAGAAAGCCCAACCAAGTTGCGTCCTTCTGTCTTCGCGGCTCCAGAAGGACCCATTCTCAGTAGGCCGGGTTTTTTGAAGGATGCAGTCCCTGAATTTGGACACCGATGCCATGATTGGTCATGTGATCAGTGATGCTGATGCACAGCGGGTGGTGGGTAATGGAGTCCAGTCCTGTTTACAGGTGGAGCCAACCACGCCTATCTCTCCCAGCACACCTGGAGTCAAACCTTGGAGCTCCGCCCCTGAAGAGAAGCCGGTTCCAGCCCCCACTCCCACAACTCCCACTCCGGCCCCCGCCCCTTACAGACCAGCTGTGTGAGTGCCTAATACCTTCCCCCTTACTCCCCTGCAGAAAGAACCAATGATGAGATTTATGTGGTTGTTTCAGGGTCTACTGGGATCTGGATATTCAGACCAACGCTGTGATCAGAGAGCGCTCAGCAGCCAATCACCTGCCGCCGCACCCCGAGATCGAGCTGCAGCGAGCGCAGCTGGTCACTAAGCTGAGGCAACACTATGCTGAGCTGTGCCACCAGAGAGAAGGTGAGGACTCTCTTAAGAACATCCACTGAGGAAAACCAAACATGCCCTTACAGTCTTGTGTGTCCTATTAAGGCATCGACCCACCGCGGGAGTCATTCAACCGATGGCTGCTGGAGAGGAAAGTGATGGATAAAGGTCATGATCCGTTATTGCCGAGCGAATGTGAGCCCGTCGTCTCTCCGTCCATGTTCCGGGAGGTCATGAATGATATTCCCATCAGGTAAGCCACAGTCAATGCTTAAAGAAATGGAAATGTCATGAGAGCTTTACAAAAACGAAGTTTTGTATACACTCTTTGTATACAAAATGACAATGAAAGTTGTCTAAGTCTGCTTAGAGGAAACAGAATCCTGATCCAGGTTCTGTGTTTATTTAATCGAGTGCCAAACTGATCCATCTTGAGGGTTGAGTTTAGAACAGAATATCTATCAGAAAAATCAATGTGTTTTCAGCACAGCATCAAGTGGAGAGTTTACAACCAAAGAAATGATGCAGAACAGCTTGGAAAAACGTGGCTTCCATGTACCTTTGAGTAGGATGACTAAAGAAATATCTGAAATGTTCATGTAGCAAGAAACATGGAAAACTGCAATAACAGCAGGGATGGGAAAAAAAAAATGAGTTTGTTGGGATCTGTGATGGTTCTAAAGGCTTAACAGCTGCTAGGAGGAAGGATCTGTGAAAACGCTTCTTAGTGCACTGAGAGAACAGTAGTCTGACAGAAGGAGATGTGTGGACAGAATCTCCGCGCTGAGGGGCATAAAAGCCCAGAATGATGTAATTTTGCTACGCGGACCTTGCAGATGAGTCAAGCATAAACCAAGCTTTATTCATCAGGAGGCGGTTCTCCTGGCACCAGTCCACAGGGTCCTTTATTCACAAATAATATCTAAATATAATAAATAATTGGTTCTTAAAAATAAAGACAAAAATTATTTAAAGGTGCAAATTTTTGTCAAAATTGATATAAACCAAAAACATTTGGTCGGTCACTCTGCTTATGGATCTGGCGCAGGTAGAGCAACAGGATCGCCCTCCTTGTAGCTTCACTATAATAACTATAATAATTATGGAAGATGTAAGGTCTGGAAAAATGGGAGTAATATATGTGAGCCAAAAAACAAACTAAAGTATATTCTTTATCAACAAGCTCAGACAAAAGCCTTGTTAGAACAATGGTTCCCTATAAGGTAAAGAGGAAACCAAAGCAGAGCAGTGCTACACGTTCAGCTAATTCTACAACATTGAGAAATGTAGAAAGGTTAATCATCTACACGCTTAGTCAGATATTTATGTGAAGCTAGTAAACGCCCTCTTCTGTCTAGTTCTAAAGTTATTGGAGGGTAATATGGCTGATTACACCACAGTTTATGTTGAAGCCAGACTAAGACTAATGATCAAAGCAAAAAATAAAAAATAAACAACCTTTACCTGTTTGCTGACTTAATAACTAAGGAAAATATTATTATAAATGATCAAAAAGAGAATTATAAAGGGCAACTGCAATAGTTTGCACTGTAACGAATAAATTTGTGATGCAGTAAATCCATTTTATCCGGTATCGAATCATTCTTTATTCAGCTCTAAGGTAAATGTATTATCATCAGCAAATTGACAGACCAATGAAAGGACAGGTTATTACAATAAAATGATATGACTGAATCAAAGGGTCATTGTTTCTACACAATATTAACACTTCTATTAGGCAGTGAATTCCATAAGTAGACTTAAACTGACAGAATAAAAAAAAAATAAAAGAGGGTATTAAAATTTAACAATAAGAAAAAAGGTTAAAAAAAATGTCTTTGTAAAAAAATATTGAATATAAAAACTGCTCCACGTGTTTTCTAATTCAATCGACCTTCATAGTAGTTTCTCTATTCATTTCCATTATATCAGTTTGAGTGATTGTTTCATTTTGAGTTTGTTTTCATTTTTAATTATCAGCTGGAACCTGCAAGAGTCTTCTTCATCCTTATCGGTTCTACCCTATAATTACGTTGTATATAAAAAAAAAAAAGTTTCAAAACATTTGCTTTGAAGAAAAATTGCTGCATCATAAATTGTACTGAGGGTATTTTTCCAGTATTCATGAGAAGCCAACTTTTAATAGACGTTGAAGTTTATTTGAAAGTAGGGCTGCGACTACGGTTATTTTGCAAATCGATTTATCCGTCGATTATTTTTTCTATTAATCGAATAACCAAAGGTTCCTTAATGAAGACTTTTTGCAAAATTAATCCAAGCGAAACTAAAACTTATTATAAACTTATATCAAAAGATGAAAACATTGTTTTTTTATCTTAAATGCAAAATGTTTTATTTTTTAGAATCTTGGAATAATTACTGCTCTAAACAGGTTGCTTTGTCAGCTAAGGCATGTTTAAGAGTCTATACTCCAGTTAAGGATTAATCAATTATTAAATTAGTTGACGATTATTTCAATAATCGATTAGATGAGATTAATTTAATTGTTTCAGCTCTAGTTAAAAGATTCAAAGGCATCTAACTTTAGGGGTGTTTCGATGCAATTGGTCCCATATTAGCCCAAAACTAATGTCTTGATTTTATTTTCTGTCAAGAATCTAAAATCTCTGATCTTTTCATGCTCATATAAACACTCTGCCGCTGTTAAAACCTCCTTTAACTCACTAGTTAATTTTACATAAGTCAGTTTTTTCATGCCTTTTGTTGTCTCTTGTTCCCTGTTTGAGTAATATTATGTGATCAATCATTTTCTGACATTCTACATTATAAAATGAGTAATAAAAGCTGGTGTGATTTCTGCTATTTTCATATTTGGTCAATATTGGTATCAGCCAATTCTAAAAGCTGCAATATCGGTATCTTATCAGAAATCAAAAGTTGTGTAGGGACATCTCTCTCCAACGTTAATAGATATAACTGCCTTTCAGCTGATGTTCAGCCTAGAGTGGGTCCACCTGATTGATGTGGTATTGATCGCACATCGGTTTGTGTTTGTCAGGTTGTCCCGCATCAAGTACAAGGATGACGCTCGGAGGCTCCTCTTCAAGTACGCCGAAGCCGCCAAGAGGATGATAGACACCAGGTGAGCCACAGCTGAGGATTCACAATTTCTGAGGTCACTGCGGGTGGGTGTGACTAATGTTGCCCTTTGACCTTTTGTAGAAATGCGAGTCCGGAGAGCAGGAAGGTGGTAAAGTGGAACGCGGAGGACACCATGAACTGGCTACGCAGGGATCACTCCGCCAGCAAAGAAGACTACATGGTAACACTTCAGCATATATGTCACATGACTTTGGGAGCAGGTACAGAAGCTGAGCTCAGCAGCAGTACTCACTATGTCATGCTGCCTGCCAGCCTCAGAGATGTTTCCATAGATGCTTTAAAACTCATGTCAGACTTCAGGCTGTTCTAGACAGGCAGCTCAGAGGAGACCTGTAGACCCACAGCTTCAGGTAGACATTTTCTCTATGCCTCGTGTCTCCAGGACCGCCTGGAACACCTGAGGCAGCAGTGTGGGCCTCACGTCACTGCTGTCGCCAAAGACTCCGTGGAAGGAATCTGCTCCAAGATCTACCAGCTTTCAGCCGACTA